TACCAACAGCAAAACACATGAAACACTAACAAAAACACGATCATAAATGTATATAGTTAAATATGTTTGCCAATTACAGGTATACACAACATTTACCGTAATTTGTAGCTTATTTTTTATAATGGTACTGAATACAAAATAACTTATATGAAGAAAAAATTAACTAAGGAATGAGTGTGTGCTGAAAGAGTGAAAAGAAATTGGTCAATTTTTTTTGAAGCATCGGGCAGAGTCGTTGAAAATGTCAATGTCCGGTATCTTGGTCATAATTTAATTGTATGTGTTACATATTCTGGCTAGAGGATAATGCGCGGCCTAAATTTGTTTTGTGGCAAGGTATGCTAAATAGTTTGCGAATTGGATATCGAGGATATCTGTACGGGATAACTAATTTGATGTGATCGAGGAGGTGCGTACTTTTGATTTTGTTATGCAGTAACTTGTGTAGAAACATTAAGTCTGCAATGAGACGTTGGTCACGTAAGTTTGTCGTTTTGAAAAATGTTAGCCTCTGACTATAGGGGTGTCTATGCGATATGCCTGGAGTTGAAAAGACAAGGTAGCGTGTAAAAAACTCTTTATGGGTGTTTGTATCTTAATAACATGCAGATAATCTCCTGAGATTAACAGAAACCAGTTATTGAATAAAACTAAATTTACGGATTCTATCGCGTTTATTTAACTGATTTTACTTATTTTTAATTCCCGACGTTTCGGGTGCTTTACAGCACCCATGGTCACGGAGGGGACTGAAATGTTTGACGTCCCAATGTCATTGTTAGGCCGGCTACAAGGAAGCTTCAGTTTGTGACATATTCATAATTTATTTGATAATACTCCGATTCCTACAAGGATGATAGGGCTATTGAAATTAAATAACATTTTGGAGAGGTTGCTTGGGATCTTGACAAAATTACAAACCAAGATACACTGCGAGATTTCAAGATCTGTGTTTGTTTTCTAAATCGGACCTTATTAACTGAGTAGCCGGCCTAACAATGACATTGGGACGTCAAACATTTCAGTCCCCTCCGTGACCATGGGTGCTGTAAAGCACCCGAAACGTCGGGAATTAAAAAAAAATAAGTAAAATCAGTTAAATAAACGCGATAGAATCCGTAAATTTAGTTTTATTCAATGTGTAGTGTGCGCGTAAATTTAAGAAATCATTATAAGAAACCAGTTATTTCAATATTATGGACTGTATTTTATTTATATGTGTAGACTTCATTGTTTGCATATTTTATAAGACTTTTTTATCCAAATCCAAAGAGCAGCGAAGTACTCGCGCTACGTTCAACCAAAAATATTGGAATATTGGAATCAGACAATCACAATCCCAATATTCTATTAGTGGCCTTTTACCAACATTCCAGGCAAGTAACTCAGTTAATCACTCTGATTCTACTGCGGATATCCCCATTTCTTAGTTTATCACGCAGAGTAACCTCGAGCATAGTCCTCTCCACAGCTCGCTGAGCGACCTTGAGCGTCCTCATACGGCCAGCAGTGAAGGACCACGTCTTAGTTCCATAAGTCATCGCTGGCAACACGCACTAGTTATACAGTGACCGACATAGCCCAACGGGTTAGTAAGCTGAAGTGGCAATGGACCGGCCATATGGCTCGAAGAACCGATAACCGATGGGGAAAAAAGGTCCTCGGGTAGCAGCTCGCCACGTACCGGTAGGCGAAGTGTAGGGCGAACCCCCACTAGATGGAGTGACGACCTATTTTGTGGCATTCCTTGGGGAGGCATATGTTCAGCAGAGACTTATGAAGGGCTGTAATCATGATGATGATGATGAACTCAGTTGACTCATTCTTTTTTTACTAAGTCCTTCATGAAACCTGTAAATTCCAGACTCATAAACTTGCATAAAAATATTTCTTAATTAATCCGATAATAACATAATTTCGTAATATTTTGTAGTATTAGTTCATAAGAAAAATTAATAAACTTTTTATGTTAACTTGTTATGATAACCTTAACCTCAATAAAGTAGTTAATACTTGTTTTTAAATCATTAACTTATGAATCATAACATGACGAATGATAGTAGTAGTGGTAAAACCATTACTTATTTTTGGTTTCTTCGAACTGTGACACTAGCTACAGAATGTTACCCAAGACATTAGTAGAAATATGACTACAGCTCAAACTATATAACAAAATTAAATATTTAAATAGTGATTAAACGCTACATAAATCATTTTTCATAGAATCAATGAGACGAACGAGCACACACACACAATGGAACGCGCACACAATGGAAATGGAAATCTACATCTACGCTCGATTAAGAATCAAAATGCAGATGAGTTGTCACCCCTGAGGACTAAGATGGAATGCCTCGTTTTCAGTAAAATGCGACTGTGGTTCTTTACACTCACTATACTAAGCACAGTAGCATTGAGCTACTATTTTACGCTGGTATTTTGTGAGGGCGTGATAATTACCCGATCGAGCCGACCCATGCCTGCTGGAAATATAATATATCTGCAGCGTGGCTCTATCTCGTATAAACCTTCGTATCATGGATTAAATGATAGAATCTTATAGCCAATATTGCCAGTCTAATATAAGTTAAAAGTGATCAAGAAATTTTAAAGTCGCGTCGTTGAGCCATGATGCTTTTATATAATGGTTGCAGTACGAATGAGTCGGTTCGACTAGGGAAGGATAACGGTCTCACACAGTGTGATAAATAGTAGCTTATCGGTGTTTTGTATGGTGAGTATACCTCTATACGGTCCCCACCGGAGAACATTTTTACTGGAAACGAGGCATTCTATCTCAGTCCGCAGGGGTGGCAAATAATTCTGAATTTGGATTCTTAATAGAGGATGGAAGTAGGTGTCTAGGGCATGGGCTTTAGGAGCCCCTTTTGAGGTAACGGAACGCTCATTAAATCCCTTTTATTTTATGGAACCCCACATCTAACGATTACAAATAAAAGAAGTGAAATTTAAATAAGCTAATATAAAAACCTTTATTAGAAACAAAAACCTTTATTAGAAATATTTTAAATGTGAAACTTTTATTTAAATATATCTAAGTGAAATATTTTAAAAGTAAAATTAGGTACTAATTATAAAAGAAGAGTGTGGTTTGCAAGATGATGCGGTGACCAGGATTAAGAAAGGAATGCTTCGGTGGTTTGGTCATGTAGAAAGAATGAATGCGGAAAGACTGACAAAGCAAATATATGTTGCAGAAGTGAATGGAAGAGTCGGAAAGGGACGTCCTAGGCGGAAGTTTGTCGACCAAATTGGCGATATACTAAAAATGGGCCAAATTAAGAGTACCCTTAACCGACGAGCATGTATGCGTAGGTATATGGATGTGGAAGAGGCGAGAAAGGTATGTCAGGATCGTGCTAAATGGAAGTCTGTAGTCTCTGCCTACCCCTCTGGGTGACAGACGTGAGTGTTTATGTTTTTTTTTATTGCCGAGTTCTCGATAACTACTTACGGACCTAGATAGCAGTAAAGGGTACTTCTCATGACTTATTTTGGATATTCCCGTCGGGACGAACGAAGTTAAAAGTTAAAAAAGTTAAAGTTACAGCCTATATACGTCCCACTCCTGGGCACAGGCCTCCTTCTATTTCTGAGAGGGTTTTAGGGGAAGGAATAGTCCACCGCACTACCCCAATGCGTGTTGGCGAACTACACATGTCTTCGAAATATTATATTTTTTCTCATTTCTCAGACATGCAGGTTTCTTCACGATGTTTTCCTTCATCGCCGAGCACGTGGTAAATCAGCACTTAAAATTGTAATTAACAATTTCATTGGTGTCGGCGGGAATCGAACCTGGTTTGCGCGTGTATTGTGAAATTTACAGTGAGCGCTAACCATCTGCGCTACCACGGCTCTTTTACCCCAAATCCCAAATAGTATTTATACCTAACTGTAGAATTATTATTTAAAATTAATTTATTTAAAAAACAAAAATAAATAAATTCGCGGAACCACGGTGACTTTGTTTCGGAACCCTTAGGTTCCACGGAACCCACTTTAAAAATCTCTGATCTATGGAAACCAGTATCCACTTACTACGAGGTGGACTGTGTACTCCATTGTTACCCATTTTTACCATTATATACAAACATCTATCGAATACAATCTCATTAAAATTATTGTGCCTAGTGCATGCGAGGCTACCGCCTTTAATCCACCTATTAAAAAAAAGAATAATAGAAACGTCATTAACAGTACTTATACTATATCTTTAAAAAGCTTGTGTTAAAAATGATTTCCGACAGCAATCGAATGGCTTAGTCAAACCACGACTTTCCCAGTTTACAATCCGCAAGCCTAAACCAGTAGGTTACTGTCGCTTAAAATTTTATTTTTGGGTTCTTCATGTTAATTTTGGATGCAGACCTTCATGGCTGCAGTTATCATTTACTATCACGTGGTGTATTATCTCAATTGTAACTCTAATATATTAAACAAATGATTCCCAAACATTTTTAAAGCAAATTCTCCTTAGAGGTTTTTGGCGGGAACTTTACCGTCGACGGATTGTTGTCACTGTTTTATCTTTTAAATAATGGTTTGACGTGGATGTTGATACGTAGAAGTGATGCGATTTTGTGTATTAAGTATCTGCGCATGTAAACAATAGTAGAAACGACGAAATAAGTGCTTCTATGTTTATATAAGCTTCGAGTTATTATGTTCACTTAAAAACTTGAATTACCGTCGTCATCCACTGTACGCTGAGTTGAGCTGTCATTAAAATCTCCCAAAAACTTCGTATATTGTGAAGAAGTATTATTTTATTCGATAATTTCTTATTACTTGATACTGGCAATTGTATAATAGTACGAGTAAAAGATAAAAAAAATCGACTGTCGGAAGTACAAAATAAAACCTGTTAAAACATGTTATTGATGCAATGGTGTGTTTAAATATTGGCAAGAAAAATTCAGTCCCTAAGACGCGGTCGGTATTTATTAGTTATAATATAGAAAATTAGATAAACGAACCTTAAGTTCTTCACCATGCGGTCTTTACTGGGAAGGTCGAGGAAGTCTAGCAAAAATCTCAGACGCTCCGCGATCTCCCGCGTCTCCATACCGAATATCCAGCCGAAGTACATCATAGTTTCTTTGATAGTGAACTCGCCGTACAGGGCTATCTCTTGCGGCATGTATCCCACGCGCTTGCCCGGCACTCCTGAACCTGAGAAATAACACAAAAATAATAGAAATCGATTTCCTTTATTTAAGAAGAAAAAACTTCGCTTGATTTCTTGCTGGTTCTTCTCAGGACAGAGGTATTTTTGAAGCCATTGGTAAATTAAATATAAGAATGACTTTCAATAAATATTTATTTTAATATAGTTTCTATTGTTTTTGTTTCAATGAAGAATCGCTTCTCTGTACAAATTCTATCGCAGTTGGGACTCATTAAAGCGATGGTGAAGTTTTCTTAGTTGAACAGTGCTTTTTAAAGACCAATTTCGACTAAAATAGATTTAAAAATATTTTGGTTTTGACATTATAATTAATAGTGACATTGAAAGTGTTTTTTTTTAGTTTAATATAGAACTCGTATTATAACCTTTGTCCTAGACAGGATTAGCCAGAAACCCAGCGGAACTTTTACAATTAATACTAAGTAAATTATTACGTTACGTTATGTTGGTTGATAGTTATGTTAGTATTTACATAGGTTCAGAAAATATGTTGGACTTAGACAGGATCAATACGAAACCCAGTGAGACTTTATCTCAGTGGATTATGGAGCAATAAGTTCGTCGCACTGCTCCAATGCGTGTTCGCGGTCTTCAAATGTCTTCGAAATAGATATTTTTATTCCTCAAACACAATTCTGCATGTTTCTAGCATGTCTTGTGATGTTTTCCTTCACAACCGAAAACGTAGTAAATCGATATTTTATATTGCAATAAAAAGTTTCATTGGTGCCGATACTGTAAAATTTACAGCGAGCATTCTACCTGAGTTACCACGGCTCTTTATGATAATAAAAAAGCGACTTTTTACATAACATAATAACATGAACACTCACGCCTGTCACCGAGAGGGGTGCGTCCAGACTACGGATTTCTATTTGGCACGATTCTGACACACCTGTCCCGCATCCTTACATCGCTATACCAAAGCATATGCTTATCAGTTAAGAATACTCTTAATCTGGCTCATCTTCAATATATCGCTAATTTTCTCGATAAAATTTCGTCTATGGCATTCCTTTCCGACTATGCCATTCACTTTTACCGACTTTTTAGTATTTGTGAACTTACCTTTCGTGCCCGGCTTGCCCCCGAGCACCCATATCTCTCCGCTGTTCAGTTTCCGCCGGCCCACGATACATGACAGCAGCGTGGTCTTCCCGCAACCGGACGCGCCGAGGAGGCCGTATCTATTGAAAAAAAAAACCAGTTCAGTTACAGTTACTAGTTTCTGGATGTTAACGCTGTTAGTCTATGTGACTCTTACAGCTTCGTCTGACCCAGGGTTGACTCAGATTTGGTATTGTTACCAATCATCATCTCGCCTTTTTGGGCGTATTTGAGCTATCTAACCGCTGTCTAATTGTTACTGTGGGAACTTTTATTATGGGTACTTTTATGGTAGATACTTTTATACGTGGTAGAGCTATGCTGCAGCTACGTTCCGGTTGTAGCTCAAATGCGTCGGCTATGCCGAGCTTTTCATATATTATGGTTGTAGAACGAATGGGTCGGCTCGACGGTGGAAGGAGCACGTTCTCGCAGAATACCAGCGTAAAATAGCAGCTTAATACTGCTGTATGTGAGTGAGAGACTGTATAGTGAGTGTAGAGAACCGGATACCCTTTCTACCGGTAACGAGGCAGACAATCTTAGTCGTCAGGAATGACAACGCATTTTGATTTTTAATCGAGAATTGCAGTTAACAACTTCATTGGTGCCGGAGGGGATGGAACTTATGTTGCTGGTACAATAATATATTAAGCGGCCAATGTTTGATAAAGTTCATACCAAAGAAATAACATTATAAAGAAAATCAAAATTAATATATAGTTATCTGGGCTGATTTTTCAAGTCAGCTAAAAGTTCTACATCAAATAAGTTATAATCTGACTAAAAATGAAAATGACTCAATTGAGCTATTTAATTTATACATCTGTATATTTTAATTTAGTTATGTTTCATCCTCTGAATAATTTTTGTCTGAGGGTTGAGAAAGCGTCCGTAAGGATGAGTGGATTAATTTTTCAGGCCGCGGGGCGTAGTGGCGCGTTCACCATACATTTTACGGGTACTACATAAAAGATGGTAAAAGCGGAGAAGTTCGCATAATGGTGTCTTGTAAGGTGCATGTAGAGAAAAGGAGACTCTATTTACAGGCAACGAGGCATTCACCATCTTTTTCCTCAAGGGTGACAACGCATCTGCATTTAGATTCTTTATTGAGGATAGATGTAGATGTTTACGGGTCACATCATCCACTTACCATCAGGTGGACTGTGTGCTCGTTTGTGACCCTTATTCTATAAAAAAATAACAGCGTATGTTAATTATGAACACTGAATGCCCCGTTACTGCACGCTCGTCACTTAATTTCCACACTTACAAATAGGTCTTAATTATTGTAATCCACAACCACTGCCATCTGCGTGTGGAATGAGGCGAAATATTTGACAGATTTCGAAGCGAGGGAAGTTGTTGTTGTTGAAAAATTTAAGGGTTAATGAGTGTTTCTGTAATATTAGTTGTATCTTATATTGATTACATTAGAAATGGATAAATCATACTACCAATATGTCTTAAATAGGAAACATCGAAAAAAAAGTGTTATAAATTGGCAAAAAATCAAAGAGCCACTGTGGCATGTTCGTGTATTAATACAAGACTCTAGAAACGGATAAACATTTATTGAAAAAAAAAATCTCAATTAAATGAGATTGTGTAACAAAAAACTTCTTTGTTTTCTTGTTTCAATGACATTGTGTAACTAGCGACATCTGATGAGCGCAAAACTAATAGCTCTCATTAAAGGTTGACAGGTTGACAGCTATTGAGTGTTTTACTTATCTGATGTATAGTACTCGTAGTATAGTACTCCGTTCTAGATATATAGCACCCGTCGTACGGCCTATAATACAGAACAGGTTACCACGGACTCGTTTTAAAATAAAATCGATATTATACAGTATCCATAACTAACTAAAATCACGCCACTGAAGCTAAATATCGGCTGGTTTACCTTAAAATACAGGTTAAACCAGAGGCTAAATGGGAAAACGGTCGCAGAAGGTTCTCGTTGTTCTGAATCTTTTAGCCTTTCTTTAAAGTGAATTAATTAAATTATAATCATTCAATTCTTTCACTGTGTAATGGATAATGATGTAAGAATATTCCGTATCCCATATCGTCCCTTACGTGTCGTAAGAAGCGACAGTGGGAAACAAACTAGGACATAGGCAGCAGCGTTTTCTTAATGACAACTACCTAGATACTATTTTTTAATAGGATAGGACATCTACCATGTATCCTCGATTACGAATCAAAATGCAAATGCGATGTCACCTGTGCGGACTAAGATGGAATGCCTCGTTTCCAGTAAAAAGGCTCTCTGGTTCTCAACACTCACCATATCAAACACACTAGCATTTTACGCTGATATTCTGCGAGAGCGTGGCCCTTCTCGGGTCGAGCCGATCCATTCGCGCTACAACTATACTACTAAAATTACTTCAGCATGGCTCTACCACGTATAATATATTATACTTATATTGTAAGTTGTAATAAAAAAGTCTTCATTCTAATATTATGTTGCATTCAGTTTTAAGGTCATTAGTAAAATGTAAAGAAGTATAGTTGTGGCACGAATGGGTCGGCTCGACCGGGGAGGGACCACGCTCTCACAGAATACCAGCGTGAAATAGTAGCTTAATGCTGCTGTATTTCGTATGGTGAGTGTAGAGAACTGGAGACCCTTTTTACTGGAAACGAGCCATTCCATCCTAGTCATCACGGGTGACAACGCATCTGCATTTTGATTTGTAATCGAGGATAGATGTGGATGTCTATGGGCCGCAGCAACCACTTAACATCAGGTGGACTGTGTGCTCGTTTGTCACCCTATCCTATAAAAAAAATATTACAAATGTTATATATTTATAATTATAGAGACACAAAGGATTATTATTTGTTTTAGTTCTGTATGTGTGTATTACAAAAATAAGTGACAAGCTATTCCACTACTCATACCAGTTAGTCGACTCCACCGAGTCAGTAATTCATTCTTAGGGCGATGTATACGCTTTTACAACAAAATCCCAGAAGATATACAAAATTTGACCTGGTCAAAGTTCAAAAAATGTATTATAAACTAAGTTTGTATAAAAAGGGTTATTATAATAAGAAGGAATTTATGGATGATAGTAACCCCTGGGATGAGGTGATCGCTACCAAGCTATTTTTTATTTGTTTTGTATTGTTAATTGTGTACTATACATGATTGTAATCCGTTATTTTTTTTAAAGGTCTCGCTTGGTTTTTTGTTGGTTATTCTCAGGGCAGAGGCTTTTTTACGAAGCTATGGTAATTAAACAAAAAAGTGACTTTTATTAAGTACTGTTTATAATCTATATTGAATAAAAAAATATCTGTTCCGTACTGTTCTGCTTATAAGATTTGCTAAGCTTCGTCATCATCATTATAATTATCTTTGTTTGGTGTTATTATATTTGTGTATACACTTATATTTATACATATTTGTGTTCTTTGTAACCACCTTCCTAGTTTTATCACTGTCCTAAGCTTGACAGGCAGAGAGTGTTTATAGCATTAAGTCCGCTTTATCATCATGTACTGATGTGAGGTTCAATAAAGTCTAAATAAAAATAAATAAATAAGATTATAAGTGATAAGTAAAATAGCAATAGCATATTCACTTTTAGCTGATAATTCTAAATGTACAAATTATGACAGATTTTAATTTAATTAAATTAAAAAAAATCTATGTTAACTATAAATTAAGGGGGGGCACTTCACTCTGTATCAAATTACAGCAGTAAAGTACATCCTCTTAAAACAGTTACTAAATTAAAAAAATAGATTGTTTACAAGAAAAAGCAAATGTGTGGAGTTTGAGAGTACAATCCCGTCAATTGTGGTGTTTGGTATCTTTGGCGGAAAAAAAACAACCAGAAAATAAAAATGCGGTCGCCAATTCGGCTGTAAAGCTTAGTAACTACGACAAATATCCTTTGTGAGGCAATCTATGGGAATCTAAAAGATTCCTAGGAACAGTGGACTTTAATAAGCTGTATCAAGTGGTTATTGGATGCAGTTAGTAATTCCAGAAACAGAAACTTTTTTATTTTAATATAGATAATAAATAATACTTATTGAAAGTCCCTCTTATGTTTAATTTACCACTGGTTGGGAAATTAGGAATTACCTCGGTCCTGGGAAGAACACAGCAAAAAACAAAAACGACACACACATAAAAAATTACAATCATAAACGTTACACAATAATTAACAACACAAAACAATTGAGAAATAGATTGGCTGCGATCACCTCATTCCCAGGGGATATCTTCCATAAATTCCGTAATATTATAATAAACCTTTGTATACAATCCTTGTTTAATAAAGTTTTTAAATTTGGCGGAAGTCGGATTTTCTGTTTATTATCTTTGGTTGTTGTATTTGTTTACGATACTATTACTTTCTAGTACCTTTCTATAGGTTGCTGCTATCGACGTTCAGTGCACTCTAAACTAGCAGTTGTTTTAAAATCCAGTAAAGAGATAGCCTAAATATGTTCCACTGCTGGGCACAGGCCTCCTGTTAATTCTATTAGGGTTACGGAGCAGTTAGTCATAGTGCATTTACAAATAATAATCGACAGCCGCGTTGGTCTATCAGAAATCAGAAATCAGAAATCAGAAATTTTTATTTGCTTTAAGGTAGTGAGTTTGGTTCTGTTGGTCGAGTAACGTTTAAATAAATAAAAAATGAAACGTATACTATTTAGTTAATTTGATTGCGTTACTGTAGATTTTTTTGAAATTTTTAAATCAACAATAATGGGAATTTTAAGATATACGTTATGGACTGCAAATAGAATAATAAAGTAGGCGCCTCCAAGTCTTAAGCGTCGAAAGTTATTGCAAAAATTCTAACTTTCACTCGAAAATCTGGTCCGAGTAAATCCGTGATTCGCAAGTGTTCACGTGTGATACGATGTATTTAAAATAAGTTCATATCAGGGATGTCAACCATTCTTTTTTCTTTTGTTATTATTTTTCTTAGCTTACTAGGACTTTCTCCTTTATCGTATTGGCATTCTATACTTACAACTTTGCAAGTATTTCCTCAAGAATTAATAAAATGGTAACTTAAATTGTATTTTAGATACTCGT